TGGGGGACTCTTGGGGGCCTCCTGAGGGCCTCGTGGGGGCGTCTTGGGGCCTCTTAGGGGCCTCTTGGGGCCTCGTGGGGGCTTCTTAGGGCCGAGGGCTCGAAATGATGTTTCGTGTTCCCTCTCTGGGGCCCCTTTGGGGGCGTTCTTGGGGCCCTTTTGGACCGTCTTGGAGGCTTCTTGGGCCGTCTTCGAGCCCTCTTGGGCCATCTTGGGGCCCTCTTGAGGGCCTCTTGGGCCCTCTTGCGGCGATCTTGGGGGCCTCTTGGGCCGTCTTGGGGCGTCGGGAAGCCGAAAAGGTGGAAGCTCCAAAATCTTTCAAAAACCTAAGGAAAAGCAATGAATTTTGCCTCCTGGGGTCCTCTTGGGAGTGCTCTTGGAGGCCTCTTGGGGCGTCTGGGGGCTATCTTGGGCGTCTTGGAGCGATCTTGTGGCATGTCGGACCCCTCGTGTACCATCTTGGGGGCCTCTTGGGGGCCTCTTGGCCGTTCTTGGGGCTCTCGGGGACGTCTCGGAGCCCTGTTGGTGCGCTCATGGAGCGCTCTGGTGGAGTCGCCCGGGGATCAGCCGGGACTCGCCCGGGGTACTTTGCGTCCGGGGACCCCCAGGGGCCGCCCCGCGCGCGCGAACTAGAGAATTGTTAACCACTTACCGGAGATCTTAGCACGCCTCTGGCCCGTTGGGCCGGCGAATTTGCGTGTCCCAGGGCCCCTTCAATGTGCCCCCCCAATTTTATCATGTAATCTGGAGTACCAATGCCGCTACCCTTCTTTCGTTTTCGCCTGTTCGGGCCTCCTGGAGGGCTGCGGCCCTCGTCGCCGCCGCCAGATTCGCCTCGCGTGCAGGAGGTCTGGCGGCGATAGCCACGAGCCAGATGGCCTCCGGAAGAACGACGCCCACGATGACGACCCGGCCAAGCGGGCAAACTTCGAGGTATGGCAGTAGCCGCTCGCTCGCGCGCGCGCGCGCCCGCTCGTCGAGACGCACGTGAAGATCAAGAAGGGGGTGTCAGTGCAGACCTTGGGCGATTTGGTAACGAGCGCACGCTGCATGGGGTCTTCACGCCCGGCGCTGGAGGGCGCAAACTGAACCGCGCCAACTTTTGGTCGGTTCGCCTTCAACCAAGCGTGCAGCGAGCGCGTCGCTTGCTTCTTATGCGGTTCGCGCGCCGCGATAAAGTGGCGCTGGCGTGACCGTGCTTCGTTGCCGCATCGCGTGAAGAAGCATGGCGCTGCGGTCGCAGACGCGTGGGTTCAGTCTGCTCCAGGCCCCGCTGATGTTCTCGACGCGCGGCACGAGCGCAACCGCAGGGGTGACATGTGGAAGTAGTTCATGGGCTCCGACGGCGAGGGCTTCTCCTGCGAGGCGCGCTTGCGGTCCGAGCGGCTTCTCGCGCCAGTTGCCGCTGCGGGCAGTTCGACCACGCCGCTCTCTGCACAGAGGGTACGTGGATTGCAGAGTGTTCTGTGCATTATACTCGCGCTCGTCGCAGTGGGCGGCGTGGCGCGACGCGCTCGGCGCTGCGATTTGCCTTCCCCGACGCGGCGCGGCGCGTTCGAGCTCGCCCCCCGGCATAAGTGGACGCTGGCTTCCGGTCGCGGTCCCATGCGCGAGCTGCGCAAGTTCCGATCTTGCATTGCTCGGGTGCTGAAGGTGTTGCGCTGGGGGTCTTGTCCTGCGCATGGCATCCGCGGTCGGCGCAGTGGTGGTGGGTGGGTTGTGGTTGGGGGGGGGGGGTTGTTGCGCGACGCGTGCGGCGCGGCGACGTACTTCTTCTGATGTGGCGCGTTGCATCCGAGCTCGCCCCCCTGTGCTTGCCGCGCCCCAGTGCGAGGGCGGCGCCAGTCTTGATCGTTCGGGGCTGAAGTGCCGCGAGTTTCATGCTGGGGAGTATGCCATCACATGATCTCGCGGCGCGGAACCGCCCGCGCGCGGTGCGATCGGGGAACCCTCGAAGTCTTCGGCCTCGCATGTTGGGAGCGTCCTCGGGTTGCCTCGCCCTGGAGTGGGCGCGACGGCTCGGCGCTGTCTCCAGAGCCAGGGCCCAGCGCTGCCAAGTATGCAACTAAGTCTTTTGTTGCAGGCGATAGCACCGCGACCGTCGCTGGCAATGTCGCACGGCGCCCGAGCGCGCAGGAGCGAGCGCGCGGGAGGCGCTCTCGCAGCAGGTGGCGTAGGATGCCGACGCGAACGAGGGCGTGAGGAGGCCTCGGGACGCTTCTCATGTTCTGGCGATCCCCGTGTGGGCGGAGGGGTTGGAGCGGAAGGGCGAAGGGGAGGCGCGGGAGGGGGAGGGGGTGATGATGATGGTGGTGATGATGCTGATGATGATGATGATGATGATGATGATGATGATGATGAGGATGAGGATGAGGATGAGGATGAGGATGATGATGATGATGATGATAATGATGATGCTGCTGCTGATGATGATGATGATGAGGAGGATGATGATGATGATGATGTTGCTGATGATGATGATGATTATGATGGTGATGATAATATGGTGATGATGGTGATGATGATGAATAGGATGGTGGTGGTGGTGATGATGATGCTGCTGATACTGATGATGGGGTGGTGGTGGGGGTGATGATGATGACGAAGATGGTGATGATGGTGATGATGGTGGTGGTGACGATGGTGATCATGATGCTGATGATGCTGATGATGAAGCTGATGCTGATGAGGACGATGGTGCTGATGATGATGTTGAAAATGATGATGCTGATTATGATGATGCTGCTGCCGATGATGATGATTATGTTTATGGCGGTGGTCATGATTATGATGCTGATGACGATGATGCTGATGAGGACGATGATGTTGATGATGGTGCTGATGATGATGCTGCTGCTGCTTCTGCTGCTGCTGCTGCTGATGTTGATGATGATGATGATGATGATGATGATGATGATGATGATGATGATGATGATGATGATGATGATGATGATGATGATGATAACGATTGTGCTTATGCTGATGCTGCTGATGATGATGGTAATGCTTATGATGATGATCATGATGATGCTGGTGAGGAGGAGGAGGAGGAGAAGGAGGAGACATAATAAGAGGAGCATGAGGAGAAGGAGGGGGAGGAGCAGGAGGAGAAGGAGGAGGAGGAGCAGGAGGAGGAGGAGGAGGAGAGGAGGGAGGAGGAGGAGAGGAGAAGGAGGAGGAGGAGGAGGAGGAGGGAGGATGTCAGCGTGGGGAAATGCCATCATCGTTCCTTCTGTCTCTCGTCGCTTGCTGTACTGCCGACCCGTGCGCACTGGGGTTGGGGGGACGGACCCGTATGGTGCCGCGGACGCTCCCATCGGGGAGTTGTGGGGGATTCTTTGACTGTCGTCGTCGTTTCTCCCTCTGCTCTGAACTTTTATCCTTAGGAGAGGCTGCTTGAACCAATCGCCTTAAGCTCGAAAAAGAGAGAGAGAGAGAGAGAGAGAGAGAAAGAGAGGAGGAGGAGGAGAGGAGGAGGAGGAGGAGGAGGAGGAGGAGGAGGAGGAGGAGGAGGAGGAGGCGGAGGTCAGCGGAGCGCTCTCGTGAAACAGGGGGGCGGCACGGGGGACCCAACAGCTTCCTCGGGGGCCGCTGGGGGGGGCTCCGGTGGCGCAAGGGGGGGGGGCGTGGAGGGGTGGGGGGTGGGGGTTTGGGGGCCCACCGCCGATCAGACGGCGATGCATCGCCGATTCCGGGCCATTGTCCCCCCTTCCACCCCTCAGCGAGCCCCCCTCCGTCATCGAAGAGGAACATCATGCTTTGGAGGTCCGCGCGGATTTCTAGGATCGGCGCTGGGCGTGGAGGGGTGGTATTCGTTTTCTTATCCATTGTTTTGCCGATCGGCGCGGGCTCTCGCACCCCCCCCCTCCTCTTGGAGTAGATCCTGGCTGTTTTTGGCGCCTGTTTCGAGCAGGTGGCCCCCATAAGACGCGCTGGTGCAAACAGTCGCACTAAGCAGAGGTCCAGAGCCCCCCCCCCTCCCCCCTCCTCCTTCCGCCAATGGTCGAAACGCGGAATACGAAAACGTTCACTTCTGGGGGCTGGAGTTATAGTGATGGGATAAGTTAGCTTTCTCGAGTCGCCTTCCTGTATTTGGTATGGTCTTTTGACAGGGGTGGCAGGCGCCTGCGCACAGCGGGCAGCACGGGGGCACCCGCGCCGTCGCTGTGAGAAACATGTTCAGAGTGCTCACGGGGCGCCCGCATACGGTCCACACTTTGCCGCAGTGTGCATGTTGGGGGCTTTATGGTTTCTTGACAGGGGTGGCAGGGGGGAGGCGCATTGTCTCAGGTTTCTCGCCGGTCGGGTGGGGGAGGGGGTGTATGTGATAGTTTTGTTATTGATTGTTTTGCCGATCGGCGCGGGACCTCGCCCCCCCCCCCTCCCCCCCCGTGGAGTGTATCTTGGCTGTTTTTGGCGCCTGTTTCAAGCAGGTGGAGTCTCTCCCCCATAGGACGCATTGTCACAAACAGTCGTACTAAGCAGAGGTCCAGAGCCAGACCCCCACCCTCCCCCCCCCGTTCCGCCCAATGTCGAAACGCCGAGTAAGGACACGCTTTCTATGTTCATGAGGAGCCCGTCTCGCTGACTCCCACCCGCCCTCCCGTCCCACCACAGAAGTAACCTCCGAGCCCCAGCATAGTCAGGAGCCGCCAACGACAACCATAGGGAACAAATGCAGGCGCCAGCTTGTTGGGACGGTCGCGAAGTGTACCGCGCGTGCCAGGGCAGCCCTGTCAAATAGCAAGTCGAGATGATGGCGTCCGCGCATGGTCAAAGATTTTGCCGCAACGTGCGCTTTGCAAGGGTGTCCGGTGGGGATGGTGGGCCTGCAAACGTGGGGCAACATGCCAGTACCACCCTGTCTCGGGGGGTACGAGGAGTCCAAAGCGTCGAACACCTCGATCCTCGATTATTCCTCCTTCTCTTCCATCTCCTCCTCCACGCCGTCCACGTCCCCCACCAGCTCCCTTGTGCGTTACCCCCCGCGCGCGCGCCAGGCTGTGAAGGGCGGTGCGCCGGTGCTCCAAGAGGAGGCTGGCCCTCCCCCTCTCCGCACGCCCCGGGGAGAAGTCTCGGCAGTCGGTGAGTCAGTCTGTGTGTTCGATCGTGGCCTCCTTGTTTGGCCAAGACCTCCAAAGTCTCGAGCGAATTTAGTTTCTGGATTTTCTCTGCCCCTGGAGTTTTTTTTGTTCCTGGACATCCCGCACGGAGCACTGGTCTCTGGGGAGGGGTCGGGAGCCGAAGCAGAAAACTGCGACGACAGACGCCTGGGGTCGGTGCGCCCATGAGGTGTTCCGCCGTGGCTGCCAGCTGCATGCGGCCCTCGCGCAGAGTGCCGCTGGGGACTGCCGGAGACAACCGGAGGCCGGTGTGCGCAGGCAGCGGGGGTGAGCCTCGGCAGGGGTCCGCCGATGCGGTTCCGTCTGATCTCGTTTGGCCGGACCGAGGTTTGGGAGCCATGTGGAGTCGACTCCGCCTCCCCTCGCTCCGCTGACACAGGTCTGTCGGGAGGGAAAAATCCTACAGACACAATGAATCGTCGATTCCCTAGAAAATATTGGAAGATCTGGGAAGGGGGGGGGAGGCAAACACTCAGAAAATATGGGAAAATATGGGGAATCCTATGATTTGTGTTTATTTGTTTGTGTGTCCCAGGACCCCTTCAGGAGCCCAGAGCCGCGTCGTAACAGGCCCGGGTCCGCGGCGTTGCCCTGGCTGACCCATGGTTGGCGCTGACCCTGGTCAGCCCGCACCCGAAGGACCGAAGGTCTAGGCCTCCTAGATGGGGTCCACGTAGATGTGGTCGGAGGGTCGCGCCGCATCGCCGATGCATCGGCGATGAGGCTCGATGCGGAGCCCGTCTTACTCCACGTCGACGTCGCCGATGCACCGCCGATGTCGACGTTGCATCGCCAGTGCATCGCCGATGCATCGCCGACGTATCGCCGATGCGGCGCGATCCACCGACCCCATCTGCTCCGACCCCCTCTCGGAGGCCTCTAGGAAGGGGGCAGAGCGAATTGAGTCGAAGACAAACAAGCATGAAGTCGGGCCTGTCCCTGGACAGGAGGAATATGCAAGAATAGTAAAACAAATGTTTTTTGTTTGGATGATTTGTTGACCATTCTTTACCTTTAGTCCAAACGCTGCCTGTAGGAGGACACCGCCCGACCTAGCACTGACATGAGCGCATGCCCATTTCGAATCGGGCTCTGTTGGTACCGCGAGGGGCGCCGTCTTCTGGGGCGGTCGCCGCGTGCCCAGCAGCGGCCGCTGTCGGGCTCGTGACAACACGTGCTGTTGGGCATTGTCCCTGTTCTTCTCGCCTTAAGTCGGGTCTGTCCCTCTACAGGAGGAGTATTAACTAATGTTCAATAGTATGGGGGACGATCATTGGAATATTTTTGTATATTGTTTGGCTACTTTAGAAACGATTTTCATTTTTCGTCCAAAATCCGCCTGTAGGAGGACATGCCCGACCTAAAGCAAGGGGTAGACGTCGGTCGTTGAGAGTGGGTGGTTCTGCATTCCCAGATCCTAATCTGCTTCAAGCGCCTTCATGCTTGCTTCCAGAATCGATCTGCTCTTGCTGCGATCTGTCATGGTCTGGGAAGGTCTGGACCCAGTCTGCTTTACCCGCCTCCCTACGTTATGATTTGACCTACTTCCGACCCGACGTGTAAGGTTAAGTCGGTCATGCCCCTCTACAGGAGGAGTATTCAAAAATAGTCAAAGATAGTCTGATGACGATCTTTAGACTAATTTTGGGCATCTGTACGCATGTTTCTACTATTTCTAATTTTGTCCCTCCAAAATCCGCCTGTAGGAGGACATACCCGACCCGACGTGTGAGGGGTCCACAGTCGATGGATGCACTAACACCATGCCTGGCCAGGGTCACCCGGGGTCCCAGGAAGGTGCGTGTGGCCTGTCCTGGCCTCGGCCAAGAGTGCGAAGGCATCATGTCGGGACCCAGGATGACCCCTGCTAGGGCATGGTGCTGGTGGTGTATTTGGCATCGCTCGGACGTGTGCAGGTTTCCTCGGCGAGGACCATCGAAGAGCATCCTGCATCCTCGGGCAGAACGGAACACGCAGGAGACCGACAAGTGCACCGGAAATGGGCGTCCGAGCGACGGCAAGGGCATGGTTTTGGTAGTGTGCAGGCGCCCTCTGAGGCCGATGGGTGACCGGGGGCTCAGGGGATGACGGGGAGGAGGAGGAGGAGGAGGAGGAGAAGGAGGAGGAGGAGGAGGAGGAGGAGGAGGAGGACAGGGATGAGGAGGCGGAGGAGGAGGAGGAGGAGAGGGGGAAAGGAGGAGGAGGAGCATACTTGAGGGGCAGCTGTCTCTAGCGCGTGGCCGCTGTCTTCGATGCGCACCCGGAGGGCCAGCCGCGCGCGGCCGATTCGCTGACCCTCCCCCCTGATTTCGAGTTGGAGAGGCAATTTCATGTTGTTCCTGGCCACAGGCGAAACGTGGAGTTCTTCGGGTGGGGGAATCCGCATTGGTTCACACGCAACAGCGCGCGTAAGAGACAGGCCCCGACCACCCGAACACTTGGTGCCACTTTAGAAAAGCACAAGGGCGCCGACACAACCGAACTTGACCAAAGATGGAACTCCAGGATCCTCTGTTGTTTCGATTTCCCCCGCGGCTCCGAGAACCAGGGAGGGCAATTCGGGGGATTAAACGCGGGGGCTGCTTCTCGAGTTCAGAATTCTCTGTAATTCCGGGAATCAGTATGTCGATTCTTTTGCAATTGCACATGCCTCTTGGCGAGGCGATCTCCCAGTATGTATTGTTTGATAGTTGTAGGAATGAATGTGTACGGTTCTTCTCCTATTTAATATTTATCCTCGGGCCTAGCATTCAGGATTTTCCAAGTGATACATTTATAGTGCATTTACCTCTAACAACATCTTTTTCCATGGGCCTGTTGCTTATCCAATAGAGTCTTTTTTCTGTCTTAAGAACCAATGTGTAATTGCCACTCCAATTCAATGCTTCTGTTGCCCTGGTATTCAGAATTTTGTCTTTTGGGAATCAATGTGCCAGCATCTCTCCAACTCAATATTTCTTCTTCGGCCTGGTGACTCCCCTGCAATGGAATCCTGTCCAACTCTTATAAATCGCATGGCATTTCCTCTTCAATTCAACATTCCCTCTCAGGCCTTGTATTCAAAGTCCTTTTCTCATTCTGGGAATGAATTTGTAAATCAGCTCCGTATTTCCGTGGGCTCGTTGATTTCCCAGCAGCCCTTGCTGACTAGGAGTCACTGTGTGATTTTTTGCAGCATTTATGTAGGGCTGTCGTTCATAGTTTTTTGTAGGCGATTCCCCGGCAATGTAATCCTTTCTAACTCTAGACAGAAATATGTACAGTCTGCTTCACATGCATATTTCTTCGGGCCATCAGAGTCCTGTCGGACTCTGGGAATCAATTGGTGAATTCTTGTCCAGCTCAATATTTCTCCTCAGGCCTGAAGGTCACCCAGCAATAGGATCCTTGCTGACTCTGGGAATCAATCGGTAAAGCCCACTCCAACTTAGCGTTTCTCTTTAAGCACGGCCTTCAGAATCCGGTCAATTTTGGAATCATTTCAATGTTCATTTCCATCTCAAGTTTCATTTTTAGGCCTGGGCGTTTCTTTGGAAATTCGTTTTTCCGAATACCAATGACCAATGACCAATGCGTATATTATTCTCCAGAGTCTTCTGTAATTTTGGAAATCAACATGTTAATTTGTTCCAATGCAGCATTTGTCCTTATGCCTGGCGGCTCCTGGCAAAGGAATCCAGTCGAAAAATAGAGTTCGTTCTTCTTCAAGTGAATGTTTGATTGTAGTCCTGGCATCCAGGATACTCTCTCACTCTGGGAATCACTGTGTGAATGCCTCTTCGACCGAGCATTTCTTCTTCGGATTGGCGGTTCCCTGGCAATGGAATCGTTTCTAACACTAGGAACATAGATATACAATTCCTTCGAACTCAGTATTTCTCAGGTATGGCTTTGGTAATCCTTCCTAATTGTGGGAATCTACATGTATATTCCTCTCCAAGCCAGCATTCTTGTCGGCCTGGCAGTCAGAATCCCGTCAGATCCTTGGGAATCAATTTATGCTTGTTCCTCCAGAAAAATATTTGTTGTGACGCATGGCGATCCCCCGGCAATTGAATCTTTTTCAATATTTTGGAATGTATCGGCACATTCGCCTTCAACTCAATATTTCTCTTTTACTTGGCATTTATACTCCGTTTGAACTTTTGGATTCATTGTGGACTTTTTTCTAAGACTTGTTAGTCCTGTCAATCATCTGGCAATGGTGTTCTGTCTAATTCTTGGAATCAGCTTGTACATCTCTCTCCACCTCAATATTTCTCCACGGGCCTGGCATTCATAATCAATTTTTCAATTCTTGTCCAAGCCAATGTTTCACTTCAGGCCTGGCGAACTCCTGGCAGAATCCCGTCAAACTTTGAGAATCGGAATGAACGCCCTCTCCAACTCAATATTTCTGTTTCGGCCTTGCATTCAGAATCCCTCCCAATTCTGGCAATCAATGTGTATATTTCTTTTCAATTGAATATTGTTCGCCAATCTTGGCGGTTCCCCAGCTATGGAGTCCTTCCTAACTCAAGGAACCACTACATACTCAATTCCAACCCAGTATTTCTTTCCAGGCCTTGCATTCAGAGTCCCCTCCGTTTACTATGGCCATCAATATGCAACGTTCCATCAACATTTGTTCCCAACCATCCTGCGGTGTTGGGTCATCGGTTTGACGAGACAGCGCCCCGCGTCACTCACTCCTCCTTTTTCCTCCCCCTCCTCCCTCCTCCCGCTACCTCCATTTTGGCGCACCCCTCACACGCTTCGTGGCCCCCTTAGGGAGCTCAACCGAAGGCCCCAGTGGCAGGGTCCGCGTGCAGTTCCACCTCCATTTCGGCGTACCCCTCGCACGTTTCGTGGCCCCATTGGGTGCTCCGCCGAAGGCCCCAGCGGCAGGGTCCGCATGCAGTTCCACATCCATTTCGGGGTCCGCATGCAGTTCCACCTCCATTTCGGCGCACCCCTTACACGTTTCGTGGCCCCATAGGGTGTTCCACCCAAGGCCCCAGTTGCAGGGTCCGCATGCATGTATGTGTGTATGCATGCAGACACGTATGTATGTACGTATGCATGAATGCATGTACGTGCATGTCTGCATGCATACATGCAAACACACACACACACATATATATATATATATATATATATATATATATATATATATATGCATGCATGCATGCATGCATGCATGCATGCATGCATGCATGTAGGTAGGTAGGTAGGTAGGTAGGTAGGTAGGTAGGTAGGTAGGTATGTATGTATGTAGGTATGTATGTATTTATGTATGTATGTATGTATGTATGTATGTATGTATGTATGTATGTATGTATGTATATGCGCATGTATGCATGCATGCATGCATGCCTGCATGAGTTGTGTATATACTTAGTGTGTATGCACAGGAAGGTATAGGAATTGACACACATACGTAGAGAGAGAGAGAGCGAGAGAGAGACAGAGACATAGAACACTGAAAAACTAGACTGAACTAGAGCCTTGCTTCGAATCAGACTAGGGCGGGAGGCAGGCCGACTGGGGCACCCGCGAGAAATTCAAGCATCCACTATCTGGGCTCTTCTCTGGTGCCCTCCTTGAGCTGGGGACGGCACGGCACACAGTTCCCCAAGGGCGCCCTCGAGGGCGCGAAGGTATTCGCGCTTCGCGCCTCGCGGTTCGGCTCCGATTCCTCCTGATCCTCCTCTTCTCCCCTGGGAGGCGGCGCGAGAGCGCGAAGTTATTCGCACTTCGCTCTTCGCGCAGCGCGAAGCGCGAAGTTGGGAGCCCTTGTTCCCTTCGGCGCCGCCGCACACCGCGTTGGAGTGGGGCCCGGACGGACGTCCAGACGTGCCATGCGGTGCGCAGGCGCCGCCCTCGTGGCGCTCGCGCTCCCGTGCTTTGCGCCCAGCCCGGCTCCTTCCCTCCTCCTCCTCCTCCTCCTCCTCCTCCTCCTCCTCCTCCTCCTCCTCCTTCCCTCCTCCTCCTCCTCCTCCCCCTCCTCCTCCTCCTCCTCCTCCTCCTCCTCCTCCTCCTCCTCCTCCTCTCCTCCTCCTCTCCTCCTCCTCCTCCTCCTCCTCCTCCTCCTCCTCCTCCTCCTCCTCCTCCTCCTCCTCCTCCTCCTCCTCCTCCTCCTCCTCCTCCTCCTCCTCCTCCTCCTCCTCCTCCTTCCTCCTCCTCCTCCTCCTCCTCCTCCTCCTCCTCCTCTCCTCCTCCTCCTCCTCCTCCTCCTCCTTCTCCTCCTTCCCGGGCGACCTGCGCGGCTGCCGGCCCTCAGGCGCTGCTGCTCGTCGCCGCCCTGGCGAACGCAGTGGGTGCAGGCCGCGCGGCCCGTCCGGCCCATTCGCCGGCCGGGCCTGTTCGGGGTGCGATCTTTCCATCGGACGGCTTGTGTGCACCGTGCCGCGTCCCGGCGTCTCCCGAGGCGTCGTCAATCCTCGGCCCATGAGGAGGAAGAGGAGGAGGAGGAGGAGGAGGAGGAGGAGGAGGAGGAGGAGTAGGAGGAGGAGGGGGAGGAGGAGGAGGAGGAGGAGGTGGAGGAGGGCTGTGCACAGGTCTTCGGGCCCTGGGAGCCGAAGATCGGTGCACCGCACTGCGCTGGAGCGGGGCCCGAGGGAGCCCAGGCATGCGGCGGTGCGTGTGCGCCGTTCTGGTGCGACCAGGCGCCCCCCCCGTGTTCGCAGGGAAGAATCGCAGGCGAGTTTTCGAGCCCAATCCCCGAGCTTCGCCCGAAACATGTTGTCTCTCGCAGAAGGGGGGACTCTGGGATACTTCCCTGTAGGGGGCTATTCGGAGGCACCTCTACGAGGATGGACGCCCCCCTTCGTATAGCCTTGAGTTTCCCGATCTCGATCTGACACGAAGAGATTCACTCTCTGGCGTGCCTGGGCCGAGTACGATTCGTGATTCCAAACGATCTGGTCAAGATCCGATTCCGCGCCGATTCAGGCGCGATCCGATCCGCATCCGATCCTGCCCGATTTCTCGGGACGGGTCCAGGAGCTGATCTCTTGGGACGGTGGGAAGGGCCCGCAGCCCCTGGCGCCAGAGCAGAGCACGACGGCATGCCGCCAGCACTTCTCTTCGGCCTCTCTGGGCCCCTGTCGGGCCCCGAGGCCGACAGACCACGACCCGAGACGATCGGGACGGAAACGTGGCCCCGGGGCAGCGGCCGAAGCCTCTCACCGGGTGCGTCGAGGCTCGGGACCCGTGCTGCGGCTCCTGCCGCCTTCTTCTGCCCTCGGGCAGGCCCGGGGCGGGGAGGCATCGCTCCAGAGCGTGCCGGAAGGCTCTCGCGGAGCATGCCGGAGCGCTCTGGAAATGCCGCGGCGCCAGATCTTCGGCCACGCGGGGAGGGTGGAGGGCTTCCTAGAAGCACCCCTGTTTCTTAGAAGGTGTGGGCCTTGTCTGTAGATGCACGGCAAGCCCCTTCTAAGGAGCAGCCTTCTTCCAAGAAGCCTTCCCCCCTCTCTGTAATTATATCCCCTTGAGCGCGCCGTCAGGATGCGGGCGCCAGAACCGTTGAATCCCAGAGATCCCTGATCTTCCCCGGTCCGCTGTTCGGTGTTCGAGGACCGTGGAGGTTTGCGGAGGCGCTCGGGTGCTCCTGGCTCCCTACAGTCAACGACGCTGAAATCAGGAACAGTTTGGGTTCGGAAGGTGCTCGATATTCCTCGGGTCCTTCCGTGGCTGTTCCTCTAGCCTTCCTCCCTCGTGCGCGCAGGCGCTTTTGGAGCCAAGAAGGAGCTTCGTTCCTTGGTGAGTCTTCCTTAAGTCAGCAGCCCGACTGTGCGTTGGGTCCACCTGCGTGGCAGGGGCCCGCCCCGTCCGACTGCTTCGGTAGCAAATCATGGGAGCCTGGCATATCTTCTTGAATCCGTCTTTAGCGTCGATTAGCGTCTTGGAGTCGATGAAGTAGCGCCATTTAGCGTTGGCGAGTGTCGATTAGCGTAGATTTAGTGTCGATTAGCGTCGATTAGCACCGAGTCGTAAGAGCCGACAAGATGGCATAGGATGCTCTCATGGGTTGCCACCGAATGCTGTCGGAGCGGGGACGGGGCGACGTCGATGTCGCTGAAGGCAGAGTGTATCACCGAAGACAAACAAGATCACTGAGCGCAAAACTCAGAGGAGAAAGTACCTATACCGCTATCTGTCCGCCGATTTCCCCTGGTTGGGCCTCCTGGGAGGCCCTCGTCGCCGCCGCTGGATTCGCCTCGAAGTTTTGGTCAGAACGCACCCGGGGTAAAGGTCTGGGGAGTAGCAGTTTCGGCACTTTTCAAAACATTGGGGGTTTGCATCACTGCAGTCATGTGTCGTGTGCCGAAGACGCTTTCGTCGAATCACTGCCTCCCGCTGTCTTTAGCAAACGCCCATGCGGCCAACTGTTGGGCCGAAGTCTGGGCTATTGGACTATGTGTTCCCCCAGCCGTTGTGGAACCCAATGGGGAACATGTTGGAGATGAAGAGAAAGGACCAGGAGAGAGAGGGGAAGGAGGAGGAGGAGGAGGAAGAAGAGGAGGAGGATAATGAGGAGGAGGAGGAGAGGAGGAGGAAGAAGAAAAGGAAGAAGAAGACGAGGAGGAGAAGGAGGAGGAGGGAGGGAGGGAGGGAGGGAGGGAGGAGGAGGAGAATGAGGAGGAGGAGGAGGAGGAGGAGGAGGAGGGAAAAAAACAGGAGGCCTCTTGAGGCCCTCTTGGGGGCCTCCTGCGGCCTCTTGGGAGCCTCTGGGGGCCTCGAAGGAACCTCTTGGCCTTCAGAGGCCGTCTTGGAACTTTCTCTGGGCAGTCGCGGGTCCCTATTTGGGCGCTGTAGGGCTGTCTTGGAGGTCTCTGGGACCGTCTTGAGGCCTCTAGGGCCGTTTTGGGGCCCCCTTGGGCCGCCTTGCAAGCCTCTTTGGGGCCTCTTGGGCTGTCTTTGGGCGATCTGGGGGGCCTATGAGGCCATCTTGGAGCGTCGGAAACCAGAAAAGGTGAGAACGCTCTAAGCTCATAGAAGAGAGGAGAATCCACGATCTTGGCCTCCAGGAGGTCCTCCTGGAAGCACTCGGGGGCTTCCAGGGTGTCCTTTTCGGGCCTCTTGGGGCTCTCTCGGGTGCCTTTCCGGTCGTCTTGGGGGGCCTCTAGGGGCGTCTTGGGGTCCTCTTGAGGCGTCTTGGGGCCCTCCTGGGGGTCACTTGGGCAGTCCTGTATGCCCCGAAGGCCTGGGAGCAAGCCTTCAAGTGCAAGTTGATGCAAATGAAGCGCCCTTTGGACTTCGAAGTCTGCATGGCATGATTTTGGTGTGTACTCTTCTCCGAATGGGCTTTCCTCGCCTACATGCTGCTGGGGATCATCGGTTATATACTGTGGCTCCCATCCCTTGGCCACACTCTCCATCTACACCCTCGTGCAAAACGCAACTGGTGTTTTCCTACACGCGCACACACCCACCCACCCCTCCAAATTCCACGTTCAATGCGGTGCCGATTTGTTTTTTCGGACTTCGCTGGTCGTACGATCAACATTGAAATGGGGGGGCAGGGGGCTCACCAAATACCAGTTGCTTTTTGCACAGGGTTGAAGATAATGAGGAGAAGACGACGACGAAGACGACGACGACGAACACGACGAGGCACGAGGAGGAGGAAATTACACTACCGAGGACCCCCACATACTTATTTTATGTCACGTGTGTTCACAAACCATGTCACATCTCGCTTCGCCATCCTGACGAGAGACTGACCAGACCAGCCAGATCAGCCAGACCAGCCAGACTGACCAGACCAGCCAGATCATTCGTTCCAGCCATAACCAGCCAAAGTAATCAGACCAGCCAGCCAGGCCAATCAAGCAGACCAGCCAGGCCACCAACCGTCGTTCATCTCCGAGTACCTCGCGTAGAGCGTATCGGGCCACCAATTGTGAAGCTGGCGGCGGTACGCATTCAAACCGGACTGCACCACTCCGCTGGCGCATCTGCGGGAGGTCTCCACGCTAACCTCGCCGCCCATCTGAACCATTGCAGTCTTCATCGCCAAACATGGAGGTGGCAGCGCGTCCACGACGATTTTGGGAGGCATGGCTGCCGCGCAGGTCGGGCGGTGCTCTGAAGTAGGACTGCAAGAGCGCGCCTGCGTGAAAACGCAGGCGCGCCGAGCCGGCTTGAGCCAAGGTGTGTACAGTTCTTGACAAGATACGAGCTCCCACCCCCAGCGCAGCCCCTGTGGCGTCGAGGAAATGCCACGCCTGCCACGCCCTGGGAGCCTGCAGCGCATAGGGCCCCCACCCCCAGCGCACCCCCTGTGGCGGCGAGGAAATGCCACGCCTGCCACGCCCTGGGAGCCTGCAGCGTATTGGGCCCCCACCCCCAGCGCACCCCTTGTGGCGTCGAGGAAAGGCCACTCCTGCTAGGCCCTGCGACATTGGCGCGTATAGAGACCGCGGTGGGCCCCCACCCCCAGCGCATCCGCTGTGGCGTCGAGGAAATGCCACTCCTGCTAGGCCCTGCGACATTGGCGCGTATAGAGACCGCGGAGGGCCCCCACCCCCAGCGCACCCCCTGTGGCGTCGAGGAAATGCCACGCCTGCTAGGCCCTGCGACATTGGCGCGTATAGAGACCGTGGGCCCCCACCCCCAGCGCACCCCGGTGGTGTCGAGGAAATGCCACGCCTGCTAGGCCTTGCGACATTGGCGCGTATAGAGACCGCGGTGGGCCCCCACCCCCAGCGCACCCCCTCTGGTGTCGAGGAAGTGCCACGCATGCCACGCTTTGCGAGCCCGAAACGCACGGGCCCCCCACCCCCAGCGCACCCCCTTTGGTGTCGAGGAAGTGCCACGCCTGCCACGCTTTGCGAACTGCTGTGCTGTGCAAACGAGAAAGAGAAGGGTAGGGGGGTGGAGGTGAAACGCGGGTGCGGCGCGGCAGGGGAACAACCCAAACCCCACGAAACATGTGGGGAAAAACGGACGACGACGCAAGAGGAAGGACGACGACGACGACGATGAGGATATGTCTTACGCGCCAGAACAGTGAGAAACACGCAGTACACACATGCGATAAGACATCTGGTCTAAAGAACTCCCTGGCCACACTTACCGTCGATCTTTGAAGTTCCTGAAGTTCGTCGGGGGCTTCCATGGGCCCCCCAGGACCATCAAGGGATGAGACATCACCGTGGGGTACCTGCTGTCAGGTAGTTTTTTTTCGCTAGCATGCCCACTTAGACAAGGGCAGGGAGATGATGGGTGGGGGGCGAGGAGAAAAGCGAGGAGGATGACGACAACGATGACGTAGTAGGAAGACGACAACGGTGAACCATCGCGTCCGTGAAGTCATAGTTGCCCGCCATTGCTCGCCTATTACCCGGCCTATTTCCCGGTCCGTTACCTGCGCATCTTACTCGACATACCCGCTCTAACATGACGAGGCGGGTAATTGGAACCAGTGGGCGGGTAACATACCGGGTAATTGGTGGGAAATGGCGGCTAATTCTGAGTGCACTCTTCCGCTTTCCTCCCAAACCTCTGGAACCCTCCCACCACTCCTGAACCGTCCGCACTGCATTCAAAGACCTCCGAAGCCGTAGAAGACGACGACGACGACCACGACAACGCACGAGGAGGAATAACAAAAAACTGACGACTACGACGACGCAGGAGGAAGGACGACGACGACGACGACGAGGACGAAAACTTGTTTTACGCGCCAGAACAACGAGAAACACGCAATACACATGATGTAAGACATCTGGCTTAACGAAGTTTACGGCCACACTTACCGTCGATCTTTGAAGTTCTTGACGTTCCTCGGGGGCTTCCATGGGCCCCCCAGGAGCATCAAGGGATCAGACATGTCCGCGGGGCTCCTGCTGTCAGGTTGGTTTCCTATCTAGCATGCCCACTTAGACAAGGGCAGGGAGATGATGGGTGGGGGGCGAGGAGAAAAGCGAGGAGGATGACGACAACGATGACGTAGTAGGAAGACGACAACGGTGAACCATCGCGTCCGTGAAGTCATAATTGCCCGCCATTGCCCGCCTATTACCTGGCCTACTACCCAGTCCGCTACCCGCGCTCACGAATTACCCGCCGCATGTATTATCAAACAGATTATCAAACAGTCCAAAAACCATTCAATTCTTACAGTACGATACGGGCGATGGCGGGCAATTATGATTCCATTCCTCTGCGCTCCTCCCAACCCTTTGGAACCCTCCCACCCTTTCTGAACCTTCCGCATTGCTCCCAAACACCTCCGAAACCGTCCCATCTCTCGGCGCTCCTCCGCGCCCCTCTGAAAACTTGGAGAACCTCCCATCCCTCCGCAACCCTCCGCTCTCCTCACCCTTCCATCCCTTCAAACCCTCTGCACTCCCCCTAACAATCGCCAGAACCCTCACGACCCTCCCAAACCCTTCGCACTGCTCGAAACATCACCACCATCACCATCACCATCACTATCACAATCATCATCATCATCATCAGCAGCAGCATCATCATCAGCATCATCATCATTATCATCATCATTATCATCATTATCTTCATCGTCGTCGTCGTATTCTTCTCGTTCTTGTCAACCCCGTGCGAAAGTCAACTCGTGTTTTTCTACACGCCCCCCCTAGTTTCAATATTCAATGATGCGGTGCCGATTTTCTTTCCGAACTTCGCCAGTCGCACGATCAATATTGAAATGGGGGGCCGGGGGGCTCACCAAACACCAGTTGCCTTTCGCACAGGGTTGTGGTCCTCGCCCCTCTCCCACCTCAATTCGCTTCCTCGTCCTCAACCACACCTACTCTTCTCTCTCCTCATTATCTCAGGAATACATCCGTGCCCTGAGAATCCTCTCCGATCCCCGAAGGCTCCATAGGGATCCATCAGAACTCCCCCCCTTCCCCGAGACATCCTTCGAGCCGACCTCTTCGTCGTCGTCGTCGTCGTCGTAGTCGTCCTCGAACCTCGATCCGCAGGCCTTGCACGGCCAGGAGGGTACCATACGCCGCCACCTTGCGCGCGCGAACGCGGGGCTGAGGCTTCGAGCGCTTCATGCCGCACTTTGCGCCACACCTGCAGGTCGGGCTGGCGAACTACGAGGACCAGCAGGCCGCGAGGGCCGCCAGAAGGAACATATGCTCCAGACTGTTCCACAAGCGTGCGGCGGTTGATCGCGCAGGGGGGGGGGGGAAGGGTCGGTCCTTCGCGGGGCGTATGGGGGGTGGATCGTGTCAGGGGGTCCCCCCCTCCTCCTCCTCCTCCTCCTCCTCCTCCTCCGTAGCCATTTTGGCTCAAGCCATTTTGGCTCAAGCCTGCTTGGGCGCCAGGCGGGCTGTTGCTGCCCCCTGCCGCGGCTCGGGCGATGGCGGCGGTCCTTCCCCTCGTCGGGGAGCAGGTGGCGTTGCTGGCGCCGCTGGTCAAGGCGGCAGCTGCAGGGGCTGCTGAAGGCGGCGGCGGGCGGCAGGTGGTGGCCGCCGCGGTCGCTTCGGCCCTTCGCGTGGGCGCTTCTCTCCTCGCCCCGCGCCTGGCCTCCGAGGTGGACGAGGAGGTGGCGGCAAGGGAGCAGCTTGGAAGGCCCCACCTGACCGAGATGGTGCGGGCGGGCCGCGAAGGCGTCGTGGCTCGGCCCTCTGGGGCCAGTCGCGCCTTCCGCGGCTGGGCCCAGCACGCCGACTTCGGCGCAGGGCCGCAGGCGGCGCCCACCACGGCGGCCGAGGCCCGGCGCCGTGCTCGTGGCCGCCGTCGTAGGGCTGGCGAGGCAGCGTCGGCTCCCACCACGGACGGCCTGGAGGACGAGAAGGAGGAGCTGCAGGTGAAGGTCTCAGTGCACCCTGGCGCTCAGCCGATGGGGGAGCTGATGAAGAAGGACTTCAAGTGCGCCCCTGGATGCCAGGCCACCCTGGAGGTCAAGGCGGTGGGGTCGGCCATTGACGAGCTGGTCCTGGAGAACACTCGGCTGCTCAAGGGGGAGACCAAGCGCGACTCCGACAAGCTCGGCGTGAAGGACCCCATGGAGAAGCGGCTGCCGCTGACCGTCAGCGCTGCCAAGCAGATGGTCCTGGGCGCCGCGTGCGCCGTGAAGATGCTGGAGCACCAGCTGACGGAGGCCCGATCCGCGCACGAGGCCGCCTGCGTGGAGGTCCTCGGCGCGGGCTTCGCGCCGTCGCAGCTGTTCGACAACGGCGGGGCTGGCCCGTGAAGTTGGCCAAGTTTTGATGCTCGGGGACCTGCCCTAGAAAACGGCCAAGTCATGAGGGCTGCGGAGGCTCGTGTTCCTCCTGCGGCTCGCTTGGCTTCGGGGCGCGGAGGCTCGTGTTCCTCCTGCGCCCCCCGCTGCGGAGGCTCGTGTTCCTCCTGCAGCGGCTGTCTCGCGCCGCGGAGGCTCGTGTTCCTCCTGCGGCGCCGTCGGCCCTGGTTTCGGGGCGCGGAGGCTCGTGTTCCTCCTGCGCCCCGCTGCGGAGGCTCGTGCTCCTCCTGCAGCGGCAGCGTCGCGCCGCGGAGGCTCGTGTTCCTCCTGCGGCGCCAGCGGCCCTGGGGTTGCGGAGGCTCGTGTTCCTCCTGCGGCCCCAGGGGCTCTCCTGCGCGACTCCCCTGTCGCTTTGCATTTAGCCCATTTAGTCCTCCTCCTCCTCCTCCTCCTCCTTGTCCTCCTTCCTCCTTACCCTGATAGTGTGTTGCCCAAGCCAAGTACGTCGTCGGAGGTTGAGCTGTTTGATGTCTTGGGCAACCCACTAGACATGTGTCCTGAAGTCATTGCGAATCTTTCCAGTGATCAGGTGCTCCGATTGGCATCTGACGGCTCCTGTTCCAAGCCTCCGATCCGTTCATTACAGAGGGCGGCTTGGGCTATAGGTGTGCTGCCCGACAGGGCTAATGCGCCAGAGCCTGTGGCTGTGATGCGTGGCGTAGTCCACGGCACTTTTCCTCAGACCCCCGCGATGTCTGAGCATGTGCCGATTGCTCTTTGCGGCCATTGCATGGCAGCAATCAAAATCATGCAGCGCAGTGTCAGTCAGCAGTCGGCAGCCTCGTCCAAGTTTGCAGGAATCCGTATTTTTGCGCAGAGCCTCGAAGGCACGGAATGGCTCCAGGAGGTAAGACATGTGAAAGCCCACAGGACCCAAGAAGGCATATATGCTTTACCGTCGGATGAAAGAGAGTTTGCTGTTGCGAATTCGGTTGTGGACCATCATGCAACGAAGACTTTGATGCAGCACGAAGGTGCTGACCCTGCGTCGTTGTCTTCAGTCAACCTTGCCCTTGAGAGGGCGAATAACTTTGTCAATATAGCCGCTGCTGTGCTACCGCTGTGTGATAATGACCTCAGGTGGCCCTGCCCTCCCCGCGCCCCGAGGCGCGGCGGAACCTCTAGGCTCAGGACGGGGTGGCATTCGTGGATCGATGGGCCTGCGGGGTGGCATTGCACCAGATGCTTATCCCTCGGTGGTAAGTTGCGTTCTCAGCTTGATATGACCAGATGTGCTGGCGTGCCACCCCTTCACAGGCAAGCTGCTCAAGGACCCACAGGGGCACCTCATCGTCTCGGCTGGACTTGCTCGAAATCCTGCCTCGGTGGACGTTGTGTGTGTGTGTGTGTGTGTGTGTGTGCGGTCCCTGAGAAGCAGGCCTATGTTTGTTTGAAGTGTGGGGGGGTGGTCCCAGGGCCGTGCTTTAAAGTTGACTGGTCCCTGCATGCGCCCCATTGTTTTTTCATTGTTTTCCATTGTTTTGTTCCAGGGTAAATTCCCGAATAGGAAGTACCAGGGGTTCCTGGACCGAACTGTTCCCCTTGCTCGGCTGGTTCCTAAGAGGCCGTCGGAAGGACCCCGCCATCTTTGTCTTGCGGTTCCTGACTCTACGGTGGTGAGTTTTCCCTCGGCATCAGGGGCCGCCCCTCCATATGAGCTGCAGTTGGCTGCTCTCATGGAGAGAATATGTATTAAGGAGGCCTCAGCTCGATGCCAGTAATCTGCTGCGCTCAGCATTTAGTGCTGTGCA